CACACACACCTGCTAACACACACACACACACACACACACACACACACGTGTTGGCATTAAAATTAATTCATTGAGCTCATTTAATGGTCTGTGCGTTTATGCTCTCACGTGTCACTATCGCTTATAATGGAAATAAAATCTGCGGCACATTACACGTTCAACTTAGCCGTTTTAAATGACAACGCCATTTAAAAAAAAAAAAAAAAAAAAAAAAACCAAAAAAAAAAAAAAAAAAAAAGTGAACTAAAACAACATCTTTAAAGCAAATTCCCTGTTAAAATAACAGTTTGAAAAGTGATATAGAATTTTATAGCCTGTCTTCAGTAAATCTATACGGTAAGCGGGGGGCTGTGGTGGCTGCACTGCATGCGGTAAAAATGAGCAATGGCGCAGCTCTTGTGAAGCGCCACAGATCGCATGTTGAACAAGTAAAGTGTTTTTGGAACTCGCCTCATGAAAACTGTGAGGCACCTCGACAGACTGGTGAAAGAGTTTCAGTTTAAGGTCAGGTTTTACCGCAATATCCCAAGGACATCTTTTGAAAAAATTAAAAGCTGGGGGAAAGAAACAAGGATAAGCGCTACTTGTCTTTTGCTGGTCTTAAATGTGTAAGAATTTCTCAAGAGGACAAAGGTTGACTGTCTGCAACACACACACACACACACAACAAACATGCCTTATTTAATAGTTTCCACTTCCTGCTTTTTACTCAGTGATGCCACAGGTTACTTTTTAGTTAACCTGTAGAGTCGTGTTAAAAACAAAGCGTGCCCTCTGTCACTTCTAAAGGTTAAAGGTCATTTTCTGTATGACTTTATCACTCTCTCACAATGGCTCGCTCTTCTTTACAGTGTTGCTTCAGTTCATTGACGTTTGCAGGTATTCGTTTATTCACAGCATTTCGTTCACGTTGAGGTCTGGACCTTGACTTTTTCACTCATTCTGTTGTAGATTTGCTGCTGTTGCTTTGACCCTGTTTGTGCTTTCAGACAGCTGTCCTCACATTTGACTCTATAATATTTTGGTATACAGAGGAGTTCATGGTCGACTCAATGAGCGCAAGGTGCCCAAATCATCCCCCTTCCGCCACCATGCTTGACTGTAGGTATGAGTTATTATATGTTGATATTAGAGGTGGGAATCACCATACACCCCACGATACGATATTATCACAATACTTAACTCACGATACTGTGGTGGACCACAAGAGGGCTCCACTCACACCCAGTGTATAGGAAGTGTGTTCCTGTGTTTTGTGGCGCGATATGCGCAGTTGATGTTGGAGACGAATAAAGAAGGAGTGAGAACTGAGAGCTCTGTGTCGTTGATGCTTACTCCACATTGGTGACCCCTGACTCGAGCATGCAACGGGCCGCAGATAACGCAGACTCCGCTATGGATGCATCAGCGGCCGCCGGACCTCCGCCTCCTGTTGCAGCTACGTTCGCTGTGGCGATGAAACTGCCGGACTTTTGGCTCCATGACCCCCCGTCATGGTTTGTACACGTGGAGGCTCAGTTCGCCCTTCGCGGCATCTCGGCTGACGACACGAAGTATCACCATGTGGTGGCCTCGCTCGACCCGCTGGCCACCCGTCGCGCGATGGCGCTCCTCCGGGACCCACCCGCCCAAGGGAAATACGCCGCCCTCAAAGAGCTGTTCTTCCCTATGCCCTCTCCGACGCTGAACGAGCCGAAAAGCTCCTCAACCTGTCAGGCTTGGGTGGCGGTACCGCGCTCGAGCTCATGGAGAACATGCTATCGTTGCTCGGGCCGGATGACGGTGGTTTCCTCTTCGTGCACCTCTTCCTCCGCCAACTACCGGCCGCCGTGAGAGCTGTCCTCGCGAACTCTCCGCTTCTGCCTGCGAAGGATTATCGCTCCCTGGCTGAAGAAGCGGATCGTATTCTCCTGGCTAGCCGCACTTTCGACGTTCACGCCCTGGCTACGGACACGCCGGCGGCACCTCGTCCACCGCCTCCCCGAGCATCCCCCTTCTGAGCAGGGGCTAACGCACCCAAAGGCACTTTGTTTTTGGCGTTTGTAGGTTGGTGGTTCGGTGTTTTTGTGCGATCCGCCCCTTTGCTGACGGCAGGGATTGCTACACGCCGGCACCGCGGAAAGAGCATCTGTTTCTACCATCAGCGTTTTGGCGACAGAGCGCGTCGCTGCCTGCCGCCTTGCGCTTTCACGGCCCAGGGAAACGGACCCGCCAGCGCGCCGTAGCAGCCGCGACCGCTGGCAATACAGAAAGGCTGCTCTTCATAGAGGACTCGCGCTCCGGGAGACGTTTTCTCGTGGACTCCGGCTCCCAGAAGAGCCTCCTTCCCCCTACCGCTGCCGACGGACTAGCAGCGAACTGTGGGCCGCAGCTCATTGCAGCTAATGGCTCTCCCATCAAAACGTTTGGGGAAAGGTTGGTGACTGTTTGTTTTCATGGCCGGGATTTCCAGTGGAACTTTGTTGTTGCCGCTAGCTCTGTACCTATTTTGGGTGCTGATTTCCTGTGTGCTCATGGACTAGCTTGTCGATGTTGCTAACAGACGTTTAATCGATGCTCTCTCGTTTTCTTCGCTACCCTGTTTTACTCGGGCCGCCGAGCCCCTGATTCGGGCTAATGTAGTGACCTCCGGGGATGCTTTTCAGCGTTTGCTTTTAGAGTTTCCATCGCTGTCTGTCCCTAATTTCTCTAGCACGGTAACGAAGCATGGGGTTGAGCATTATATTCCCACGGTCGGGCCTTCGCGGGGGGTAGCATTATATTCGTGCGTGGCGGCCGTCCGTTGGTCTCGTTACGGGTTTGGTTTTGCTGTGGGTCCTGTTTTTGCGGTGTTAGTGGTGGTTTTGGTTACGTGTGTGTGTTTTGTGGTGTTTGTTTTTTTTTGTGTTTTGGGTTTTTTTGTGTTTTTGCTAGTTTCCGTCGCTCGGGAAGAGTTTGCAGCCATGGAGCGCCTTGGCATTGTACAGCGTTCGAACAGTGCATGGGCCTCTCCGCTTCACATGTCCTCTCGCTGTGTCACCAATGTTGTCTTGGGTGTCGTGCAACAGCTGTGCTAGCAGCGGTGCTACGAGAGACAGAGTAGGATTCTTTTCCTCAGACATCACAGTAGTCGTGACTTGCATTGACTTCAAGGCCCGGACAATTTCTTCAGTGTTCCCAATATTCGTCTCGTTTAGAGTAAAGATATCTGTGCTACTCTTTCTGACTTCGGGAGACAGCAGCGCTGCACAAATCGCAGGTTGTTGTTCAAGGAAACGCTGGAGCATGTCATAAGCACTGTTCCATCTCGTGCAGACGTCGGTCTTGAGCTTGTGAGTCGGGAGCTGTAACATTTTCTGTTTTTGCTCCAGAGCGTGGTTTGCCACTGTGCTTCTATTGAAAAACCCAGTTATGCGCCGCACTCTCCCCAAGACCCTGGCTACTGCAGGCAGGTTTAAGGCTCGTTGTGATGCCAGATTGAACGTATGGGCGAAACACTTCACATGCAGGTATCCCGCTAGCTGAGTGGCAATTGTCATATTAGAAGCATTGTCGGTGACAACCACCAGATTTTTGTCGGCAATCCCCCATTCCTGTGCTGCATTTTGCAGGAGATTTGCAATGTTCGCTCCGGTGTGACTTTCATGTAATGTTCGAGTTTGGAGAACGTAAGACAGCAGTTGCCAGTCCGCTGTGAGATAATGAGCTGTTATAGTCACATATGAATCCACAGCCCGCGAGGTCCATGCGTCGCAAGTTAATGCAACCCTTTCTGCTGTGCTCAAACTTTCCTCAACTTTACGCTTCACATCTAGGTAGAGATTGGGTACGGCTGTTTGATCAATTTTCCCATGTGCTGACCTAACCTCTGCTGACCTCACTAGAGAAAAAGCTCAACCGCACCATCTGGTGGACTGGAAGTTTTTGGAACAAAATATCGATGTCTGCTGTCCCTGTATCGATACATTATTAGCAAACAAAATATCGCAATACTACGCAGTATCGATTTTTTCCCCCACCCCTAGTTGATATACTGTTTGGTTTTCTCTAGATGTGGTGCCAGACTTCTCCACTTTGGCCTCCTCTGTCCAAAGGATATCGCTCCAGAAGTCTTGTACTTTGTCCAGATGCAATTTTGCAAACCTAAACTGTGCTGCCATATCCATTAGAGAGGAGAGGCTTTCTCCTGGCAATCCTTCCACGCAAGTCATACTTGTTCAGCCTTTTAATAATTGTACAGTCACGAACTTTAACATGTCACATTCTGCGAGGCCTGTAGAGTCTGAGATGAAGCTCTCGGATGTTTTGCATTCTGTCTTGAGTAGTGCATGGTCTGACTTCAGGCTGAATTTGCTGGGATGTCCCCTCCTGGGATGACTGTCTGAAATCTTTTGTGCATCTGTGCAAAATGTTTCTCACTGTAGAACTGTAGAGCGTTAAAGTGCTTTGGAAAATGGCCATATAACCCTTAATAGGCTGAAGAGCAGGAACAATTGCTTCTCTAAGATCCTGCTGATCTTTCCTCCTTGGCATTGTGTTAACACACCTGAACACTTCAGACTAGCAAACTGCCAAAACTTCAGCTTTTACAGAGGTGCTGATGATCGGTTAAGTGTATTTGATTAGCAACACCCAGCAGCTACTTACCCGCTTAATTCCTATAGAAGCAGTAAGAGTGTACTTAACTTTTCACACACTGGCTTAATTTTTGTTACATAAAGAATGACACAATGTAACTTGTAATGTTTTATTCTTCATCTAAGGTTGCGTTTTCCTAGGGTGTAGTGTCTTTTTCCCATGGCTGCATGTAAAGACACACTATGCCCGTGTGATAACTATGACAAAACATGATCCTCACTTCCCACGCTTATATAGAAATTACATAATGTCAGCTCACAGGATATTTTGACTCTGTTGCTTGAAAACTGGTGCAAAGCCTTTTGCAGAATTACCTAATTTCCACACTGTAGACTATCTGAACTGTATATGCAAATCGTGTCACGTTGAATTTCTCTTCTGTGTTTCTGTTTCTGTTTTATCTCTATGTTTAATGCATACATGTTATTCTTGAACACGGTTTCCTTTTGAAAAAGAGATCTTAATCTCGAATGTGAGAGTCTGTGTCAGCCAGAGTACCTCTGGATCTTCGTTAATAGCAACTGTAAAACTGCAGCTGCGTGAAAAAAAAGAAAAAAAAGAGTGTATTTATCGCCTTTGCACACCCACTCCACAGTGACCTGGGTGCAAGTATGGAAGTTTCGCTTTGTTCACACAATGTATACCTCTCTGAACTGTGTGACAGTGATGTGTTACAAATGCTGGGAACGTCTCAGACATGTTTTTAAGCCAGCTTTATAATATGCATGTAAACACCTTCATCTCACACAGGCTGCACCTTGCTTCCTGTGTATGTGTGTTTGTGTGTGCGATCACCCAGGAGAATATATGTCAAACCGCTGCGGTGTCTCACCCACAACTTAAACACACACAGTGATCGTGCAGCCATGTAAGCAGCATGCAAAACAAGCCTCGCTACCAGCAGCACCACGATGAGGCCTCAGCGTTCAGCGACGTGCAAACACAGAAAATGAGCGGCTCTCCTTTAAGCCAAAACACCGACTCTGGTTTGTTCCCCGCTCGCTGTGCTGATCTTAGAAGCCAAAACAAACGAGAACCATGTTTAGGAAAAGAGAAGGGAAAAAAAACTGCATTACTAAAACGATGATCAGTGTAATTCTTCATGCCTATCTGTCTGAAAACCAGAATCCACTGCAATTCATCATTCTCAGGGTGAGTGAAGATGTGGGCTTGTGTGCTGGCGCTTTATTGTACATTTGTGCATGTCTGTGCTGGTGATTATTCATGCACATACAAGCCTTCATGTAGATCTGTGCGCACTCTGTGTGTATCTGTGACACACCAGGCAAAACAGCAGTAAGGAAATTGTGATCAATCGATGCGTGCCCGCAGGCTGTGTTTATTAACATCTCCATCGTAGGTTAATGAAATGCTCTAACGCATATTCTGAAGCACATGCACGGAGGAGAGCGGGACTTGGAGAACAAGTGTCGGGCTGCGAGAGAGGAAAGAAAATAGGCTGATTATTCCACCAGGTCAAACTGCTGCATAATCACTGCATATTCTGTGGAGTGTGTAAATCAGCTCGGTGGTTTGGGCTACTGATCGTCTCAGCACTTTCCACACACTGTGTCACTCTGGCTCCTTTCACTAAATTATGTTCCTATCAGTACATTAATTTAGATTAGTGTGACAATAGTACACTTTGGTGCTTTAGCTCTTCAAAATATTTAATGTAAATGAGCCAGGGTGGTTGTCTTCAGAGTAAAAAGGAGATCTAAACACACAATCATCAAAGCGTCTAATCTGAGCATCTTGTTTTCCTCTATATTACCGCTTTACTCACGCAGGCAGCATACAAATCTTTCCTTCTCTCACACTCGCAGAAGGAATTCACCACCAGAGGCAAACCTGCCCGCTGTCCCATGCTTGAACAGCATCAGATGGATTATAAGTGTTCCCTAGACATACCTGCAGGTAGCAAAAGGAATCCACTTTGGAGCAAACTGTCAAGCGTAAAAGTTTTATTTTCGCTCATCAACAAATCGCTAACGCATCCATCTTGGCTTCCCTCGCAGGGGCTACAAGCAAATAGCTTCTGAAGTGATAGCTATCTGCAGAGGCTGAACTAAGCAATTCGGCACTCGTACAACCCCCACCCCGTAGAAAACGAGATAAGAACAAGGCCTCGTGGAAGCCGATGCAGGGAGCAGCACGGGGATGGCGTGGACCTGACGTTTTGTTCGTTGCAATTGGGTGGAAATACCACGGTGGATGCATGGAAAACAGGCTCAGGTCATAATAACAAACATAAGTGAGGTGTCACAAATTTGCCGAAAACAAGGGAATTGTGAGTCACGCAAAACCACCTGCTAGCACCCTGGGGAACAGTTTTCAAGTTAGAAACATGTCTTTTCCACCACAGGAGAAAAAGCACATCCTCCTTACTAATACTAATAGTACTCTGACCTTTGTGTAGTCCCCCCACCTCCACCCCTCTCTACTTACCTTAAAATGATGCAGTTTCATACCATCTGCTCTTTGAAATATTTCCAAAGAGCAGAGCTTGCTGGGGCATTGCGTAATATGAAATAGTACGTCTTTGTTTCTACATCAGTTCTTTTACATGTAGTTTGTTTAGGCAAGCATCAAATTTATTTGCAAATCAAATCAGCCTAATCAAAACAAAGACTTTCTCTTTGTTTTTCCTGGATTGTGATATTAAAAGTTAATTATTACAAAGCTGAAAAACTTTAATACTTTTATAAAAATGATAGTAGAGACATATGAGAAGATAAAATATTTAAACAGTGAAGTTCTAGCACACAGATGCAACTTATCATCGGTGTGCTAGAACCGTATGCTTCTAGTGAATTAAGAGAGTAGAAGCATACGTATACAGAGCTAGGATGCTGGCGTGCGTTGTTGACTATGTGGAGCAGCGACTGACAAAGATAAAGCCCCGTCAACATAGGGGGGAAAAAAGTGTTTCATTGAAAAATCCACGAAGGTTTTTTTTTAAAGAATCTGCTCCGTAAACGTTCAGAGAAGAAAAGAGATGAATTAGCAGGAAGAGTTTCTGGTGAGTAAGTATTGAGTTCAGTCAGAAGCCGAACAGAAACGCAAAGGCAGACTCCCACTCTCAGTTTCGACAGCTAGCTTCATGGCTGTAAGAGCTGCGTAGTCTTTTTTTGGGGGGTGAAACAAGTGACGATCCAGCTGTGATATTCATACAAACAAAGAGAAGTGAAAACTCACTTAGCTTTCTGTCTGAAAAAAAAAAAAGAAGTATAAAACGCACACCAGAAATCCACTTCTTACCAATGCACTGTGAGCTGATTTTGAATTGATTTCTCGGGCACCACTTGGCCTTCACTGACCGTCAGGCAGCTCTCAGCTCACTGACATCCTTCTAACAATAAATATTTGCCTCCAGATTTACGCCCCGTCAATGCCGGACATAAAAAAGTTTAAAATGATGGGTCCGGACACAGATTACCTATGCTGCACTTGTCAAATATGATCTCACTGTCCTGCATGTGTTGATGAAAGGCCAAAGCTGGCAGAGGGAAGTAAATCTAATTCCCGCTCAAATTGAGGAGACTGTCAGAGCAAAGCAGAGCTGACACAGTCGCAGGAAAAACCCATCAGATTCACTTCCAGGCGCAGAGAGAGAGAGCACAGCGGATATGTCCGTCCATTTAACAGAGCTGACAGAGACACACGGAGCAACAAGCAAACAGAAAGCTGCGTGACCTTGTATGTATTAGGAATTGTATAAAAGCACATTTAAAGCTACAACATCAGCCTTCAGCATTACACACTTTGATGGATGTATACAGGATTTTTTGTGTGCGTCGTTATAGATATCTCAGTAAAGTTGTTTTAAATTTAATGATGCACAGAAGGTGGCATTGAAGGCACGCACGCACAAACGCACGCACATACACACACTGTCAATTACATGAAAATATTACATGCCCTGATGGCACATGCTCCGTGCAATTATTCAATTTGCCTGGTCTGCAGATGACTGGAGAGCACAGCTGAATCTGAATCTGCCACTTCTCTGTCCTTGAGAGAGAGAGCGATGGAAATAAAGAGAAGGAGAGAGGAGCGAGCGAGTGGAGGGACGTGTTTGAAGGAGGGTGAAGGATGGAGACACCAGTGACATCAACACTGTGATTTGTGTGTGTGCAGCCAGTATAAAATATATCAATCAATCTGTTATTGAAGGGTCTTTACCTTATAATATAAAGCGCTGTGAGGCGACTGTTGTTGTGATTTGGCACTATATAAATAAAATTGAATTGAATGCATTCATACAAAAATCTATTCCATGCTATTGTTGTATATCTGGACTAGATAGCAGTTAATCTTGTTCTATTGCACAATGGCTTTAATAATAAAGGGGAAAAAATAGATCCACTCATCATCTCAGTCCCCGTGGTTTTATTTTTTATATATATTAATATCTGTAGTCTTAAAACACTGCAAGTCCTGCACATCCTCAGCAGTGAATACATTTAAGTGTTACTTCTCTTTAAACTGGTGAGTTCCCTTTTTCCAGAGGGTAAAATTAGCAAAAGAGACTAAAACTATTTTTGCAGCAGGATGTAACAGTGGATATTTCTGCTTTAAATGTAGTCATTTTAACATATGAGTGTGTGGAGAATGAATATAAAGTCACCTATTGGTTTCTGAAGTCTCATTTTGAAGCTTCCAATTAACATTTTCATTTTGGCTTCTTGGTTTTAAACAAACAGATGCGGTGAGGAGGTGCAGGTCTGACCGTGTCACTGCTTGCTCATTGAGCCATCTGCTAATCAGCAAACTAATAATAATGCTCTCTCCCTCTCAATCTCTCCCTCTCTCCCTCTCTCCCTCTATCTATCTATCTATCTATCTATCTATCTATCTATCTATCTATCTATCTATCTATCTATCTATCTATCTATCTATCTATCTATCTATCTATCTATCTATCTATCTATCTATCTATCTATCTATCTATCTATCTATCTATCTATCTATCTATCTATCTATCTATCTATCTATATATCTATCTATATCATGATAATCAAAATAAATGACTGAGCTCAAACTCATCAGGAAAACATGTAATGATGTCAGACGCTGTATACCCTATATACCTCTATCAGCCTGGAAGTCTTTCTCCAACCACAACTATCGCCATCTGGTGACCTTCGGATTGAATGCAGCTTTTCAGACACTTCCTCACACATCCATGTTTTATAGCACATTCCATGTAAAGTCGGAAGTCATAATTCCAGGGTTTTGAAGATTTCTTACCCAGAAAATTCCCTCACCTAATAATCCAAGATGGCGTTACTGTTGGTAAACATTTGTAAAACTAACCTCAACTATATATATGTTTAGGTATTTTGGACTGGCTATATGTAGACTATTAACCATGAATGTGCTGCAGTGCTGTTTTTAAAGCACAAATCAAACATTGTGGTGTATTGCTAACTCTGCATGAATGTCTCTACCTTTGATAAAGGATGTTCTTGTTTTTCCCGACTTTATTATATATTATTTATTATTTAATTATTCTGAATGTGCCAAACTCAGAAGTGACATCACTCTCAGCTACAAGATCCGAATTCCGAGGCAGAGGAGCAGAGCATTATCCTGCCTATGGTACTGACTCACTTTTTCAGGAACCCTCAAGTGGCCATTTGAAGAACTGCAGTTTTAAAAAGTTTTAGCAACATGTTCACTCATTCTTTTCAACCAAATAAAAATTTACAGCATTCAATCACATTTAATATAACTACACTACATTATAGTTAGGGGAAAATACATAAATATGGTGAAAAACATATAAAAAGATACATTAATTAGACCTTTATAGTGAAAAATGTTGTATGTATGATTGATTTTAGCGTACTCTAAACTCCTGGTACACCACACACACAACACACATATATATATATATATATATATATATTTATATTATATATATATATATATATATATATATATATAAATATATAAAAAAATATATATATATATATATATATATATACACATATATGCACACATATATACATATACTGCAGTGAAAGACAGTGTAAACTAACAAAACGTTCCACTGTATCGCTGCACCAGCTTACGATGGTTAAGAAATCACATGTATTTATAGAGTGCATGATGAAAACAAAGGCGTGAGCGTGCTCTGAAATGAAAGGCGTGTGGTAGAAGGAGTGACTTTTTGGCTGAGCGGTATAATCTAGCGGTACAATATGAAAAATTGCCTGACATTTTTTTTTTTTACATTTCCAAACCTCAACTCAACAGAGCACATTCATGGTTTCAGTGTTGTATCAAGTTGCTTCTTTTTTCCGCTCTAGTTTTTCTTTGGCTTTTGAGTTTCATATTCCCAGTCAACCAGTAAAACATATGTCATTTGTAAAGTCATGTGACACTGTAAGTGAGCTCACAAGCACTGATGTGGTCCAGTCACACTAAACCAAAATGACACTACTGTAATTTAGCCAGCGATCATGAATAATAAAGGGAAAAATTCGACCAAAATGATCTTTGATCATATCTACGAGTCATTAGTCTGCTTTTCTTTAGGCCAGTCTTCTCCAATCAAACAAATCCCTTAATGTTTTTGCTGAAAATGTGCATTATGATATTAACTGCACATAAAGAATTACAGAAACAAACCGGTTCATTATGCGACTGATGATATTCTTTGCTCTCTGGTCATTGCTGCAGTGCTTTTGCATGCTGTGGCTGCACCGGGGCGGAGCAGTTAGCACTGTCGCCTCACAGCAAGACGGTTTGTGGTTCGAGCCCCGGCTGAGGCCTTTCTCTGCGGAGTTTGCATGTGTCCCTGTGCCTGTGTGGGTTTCCTCCCGCAGTCCATAGACGTGCATGTTTGTGTAACTGCACATCTAAATTGGCCATGGTTGTGAGGCAGCTAAAGTCCTGTATGGTTAAAATGTGACTTGTAGTCTGAAGTGGCAAGTAAAACTAGAAAAGCCCTGTATAAATGTGAGTACTTAAAAGAGTTTTTTTTAACAGTCTTTATTTATAGTGTGTTCTAAAATTTTCCAAATGACCAAAATAAAGCCAGAGTTCTATTTTCCAGACAGCTAATCTAAGAATAAAGAGCAGCCACATTTATAACAATGTAACTTTTAATAACTTAATTTTTCCTCATGCATGTCTCTCATCTGCCTCATTGTAACCTCACCTGTGAGCACCTTGCAAATCACATTTGTGCCATCTGCGCACCTTTCCGGTGTCATTTCTTTAACACGGTGTCACCTTTGTCACCCAGGTGCATCGTCCGACTGTCACCCAAGTGCTCCCTCAAAAGACACCTTTGTAGCACCTGTTAGTCTGACACGTCTGCGGCACAGCTTGGTGTCTTGTGTTATGGTGGAAGGAGGGAAGACGAGATAGAAAACTCCATC